CAGACTGGAGAATGGCTTCCCTGATGGTATCTGGAGTTCACCTGTGTCTCCGGCTCACTTGGAGCTGAGACGGCACAGACCAGGCCAAGGACACAGCAGTCTTGGAGAACCAAACCAAGCGGGAAACACTGTCCACACTGGCAAAGAGGAACTCGCTATCTGGAAGTGCTGAAGCTGCCAGGAGAGTCCACATCACCACGCAGCCCGCAGCGGCTCAGCAGAAAGTCAGGGTGTCCAAGCCCCCTGCAGAAGGACACAAAGACCAGATGACCACTCCTCCAGGGGAGAAACCCAACAAGCCGAGTTGCAAGACAGCCCAGATATTGACGCTAGCAGCCTGAAAGCAGCTATTTCAACCATGTTTGAACTAGATGAAAAAGACAGACGTACAGTTTCTTTTTTTAAAAATATCTATTTATTTATTTATTTTAGTTTTAAGTGGACACAATATCTTTCTTTTACATTTATGTGGTGCTGAAGTTCGAACTCAGTGCCTCAAGTATGCTAGGCGAGCACTCTACCACTGAACCACAACCGCAGCCCCAGACATACATTTTCCACAGAGAAACAGAAACTACAAAAAAGGACAAAATGAGCATTTTAGAACCGAAAAGTACTACAATGTGAAAACATGAAAATTCACAGTCGAATGGAGATGTCAGGCACTAAGAAATGATCGTCAGAAATTACCCAGTCTGAGGTGAGGAAAGAGCAAAGACTGAGTGCACAATGAGCAGAGCCTTATGGATCCATGGGGGCAGCTTTGAAGTGGCTCACATTTATGTCACTGAGTCCTGGAGGAGAAAAGCAATCGACAAGTGCAGAAAGATTATTTGAAAAACAATGGCACGCTTAAATTCTAACAATATTTGGGAAAACATTAACCTTATTGAATCCTAATCAGGACAAACTTGAGAAAACTGGCAAGAAACAGCCCAACGGAAGAAACCCTGTAAAAGGAAGGGAGAGGGATGGGACAGCAAGGGAGGAGGAGAAGGCGAGGCGTGGAGGAAGAGCCAGGGCAACACAGATGGCAGGCAGAGTAGAAAACTGGAAGATTTCTCGTGGAAAAGCACAGAGACCCACAGACAGTGGAACTATTTTAAGCAGTGAAAAAAAAAAACCAGCAAACTACTCATCCCCCAAGAAAAACTCAGTCATTCCAAGTTCAATATGCATCAAAACTGTCTTCAGGGCTGGGCATGTAGCTCAGTGTGTCGTGCTGATCTCGCATGCAAGACGCTCTGGGTTCAATCCTCAGCACCACAACAAACAAACAAAAACCTCCTTCAGAAACGGAGACAAGATGCATTTGTGTGTGTGGTGGGATTCGGGGGTATGAGGGATTTAACGGAGGGGCGCGCGAACACTGAGCTACATCCCCAATCATTTTATATTTTATTTCAAGACAGTCTTGCTAAGTTGCAAGGTTTCCATTGTGATCCTCCATCCTCAGCGTCCCAAGTCACTGGGATTACAGGCATGTGCCACCATGCCTAACTCGAAATGCATTTTTTTCTTTCTTATGATTTTTAGAAATTACTCTTTTTTTTCCTACAGTTTTTATTGGTGCATCATAGATGTACGTAAGATGGATTTGTCCTTACTTATTACTATATACTCACAATGTAACAATACAGTTTGTCCAGGATCCCGTCCCAGCGCTTCCCCACCCCCTCCCACCTCACATCCCCGGTCTTCCTCCTCTACTGATCTCCTTTCCATTTTCATGAGATCCCCCACCCCACTCCCACCTTTCTTTTCCTTTTTCCTTTCCAGCTTCCACATGAGAGAAAACCTATGGCCCTTGACCTTCTGAGTTTAACTTGTTTCACTTAACATAATGGTCTCTAGTTCCATTCATTTTTCCATAAATGCCATGATTTCACTTTTCTTTATGGTTGAATGAAGCTCCATTGTGCCTATGTACCACATTTCTTTATCCATTCTTCTGTTGATGGACACCTAGGCTGGTTCCCTAGTTTGGCTATTGTGAATTGTGCCGCTCTAAACATGGGTGTGCCTGTGTCGATGATGACTAACTCTTTAGGATAAATTGCAAGGAGTGAGTGGTGTAGCTGGGTCACGTGGTGGTTCCACGCCTGGTCTTTTGAGGAACCTCCACACTGGTTTCCATAGTGGTCGTACTAACTTACAATCCTTTTATTCTCCACATCCTCTCCAGCAATCATTATCATTTGTATTTCTATGACTACCATTATGACTGGTTGAGATAGAATCTCAGGATTGTTTTGATTTGTGGTCCCCTAATCACTATTGATGTGAACATTTTTTTCCATATATTTGTTGGCCATCTATTTTTTCTTTTGGGAAGTATCCATTTATTCATTTGCCTATTTATTTTATTTTATTTTTATTTTTTGGCATTTTTTGAGTTCTTTGTATGTTCTAGATAGAGTAGCTAGCAGAGATTATCTCCTATTCTGTAGGTTCTCTTCATATTCCTTTCTTTTATGTGCAGAAGCTTTTTAATTTGAAACCATCTCATTTATTAATTCTTGTCATTATAGTCCCGTGGAGAAAGTCATTGCCTGTGCCTATATGCCAGAGTGTTGACTCTATGTAATCTTCTAGGAGTTGCATAGTTTCTGGTCTAATTCTGAGCTCTTTGATCCATTTTGAGTTGATTTTTGTGCAGGGTGAAAGATAAAGGTCTAGTTTCATTCTTCTACATGTGGATGACCTGTTTTCCCAGAAACATTTGTTTAAAAGGCTGTCTTTTCTCCAATGTATGTTTTTGGCACCTTCGTCAAGATCAGATGACTGCATCAGTGTGGGTTTGTCTCTGTGTCTTCTGTTCTGTTCCCTTGGCCCACATGTCTGTTTTATGCCAGTTTAAATTTCTTAAACAAAATTTGAAGTCAGGTACCGTTATTAGAAATACCAAGGTGCTCTAAGGAATTAAACACATGCTTCAAAGTGAGTGGGCAAAGCAAAAAACTCCATTTTTGCAGAAGGCTGTGCCCCCAGAGGGTGTCTGCTAACAAGTGCACTTGGGCGGTCAGTGTCTCCTGCTTTCATCCCTAAGGCAGTGCTGCCCTTTGCCCTACCTGGAGGAGCTCAGGGTTACGAGCTACTGGATTAGCTATTTTTAATATTGGAACAGACAAAGGGAAAGTCTACAATTAAAATGAGTTACAAGTGGATCCAATTAAAGCTAAATACTATATTCTGAAAACGGACCCCATAACTTACTATTTCTCACATTATGATGCCTCTAGCATTGCTTTTTTGACTCAGAATTGCCTTGGCTATTCTGGGTCTTTTTTCCTTTCAAATGAATTTTAGGATTTTTGTTTTGTTTTTCTGTGAAGAATGTCATTGGTATTTTAATGGAGATTGTATTGAATCTGTATGGCTCATTTGATAGTATGGCCATTCTGACAATATATACTTCTGGTATCCATGAACATGGGAGGTCTTTCCATCTTCTGAAGTCTTCTTTCCTCTCTTTAATGTTCCATAGTTCTCACTGTAGAGGTCTTTCACTCTTCCTTCATTAGATTTATTCCTTGATTTTTTTTTTTTTGAGGCTGTTGAGAATACTGATTTCTTTCTCAGCAGATACATTGTTGGTATATAAGAAAGCTATTGATTTTTGAAAAAAATTTAAAAGAATTTGAGGCAGTGTGCTCTAAAAGAAATGCTAAGGAAATTCTTAATGATAAATATCATAGGCTATTTTTCTCCTTTTAACTACTTGAAAATGTGCATGATGGTTGAGAGTAAATAATGTAGCATCATAAAGAGAAATTAGTATACACAGTTACAAGCTGCAATCTGAAGATAGCCTTCCCAAATTTGTATGTTAAAACTTAAGTACCAGTATAATAGCACTGAGGTGGGACCTGCAGGAAGTGGGATTCAGTCATGATTCAGTCATGTCCTAAATGGGGTCAGTCACCTTATGAAAGAGCCATGAAGCTGCTATTATCCCCTTCTAGCCTGTGAGGCTGCAGCAGTAGAAGCAGAGAGTAAGACTTTGCCAGACAGGAACTCCATTGGCACCTTGATCTTGGACTTCCAAGCCTCCAGAACTGTGGGAAATAAATTCCAGCCTAAGATATCCTGTTATAGCAGCTTAAAATATTAAGCCAATTTTGCATGCTTTATATAAAGGAAAAGGAACTATAGCAGCCAAAATAAATTTCACATAAAAAGGAACAAAATTGGAAGGCCCACAGTACCTAATTTCAAGATTGACTATAAAGCTACAGTAATCAAGACCAGGAGTCTTGACACGGGAATGAACATAGATCAGTGGAATACAACAACCCAGAGATAGACCCACATTGATATGGCCAATTAATTTTTTTTAAACTAAAGTGTAAAGACAATTCAAAAGAAAATGATAGTGCTGTGACATTTGGATATCCACATCGAAAATAATGAACTTGGCCTGTCTCTCATACCTTATACCAAAATTAATTCAAAATGGATTATAAACCTAAATTTAAATTACAAAGCTATAAAACTCCTAGTAGAAAACAGAAGAAAATCTTTGTGACATCAGGCTAAGCAAAGGATCTTAGATATGACATTGAAACTTTGTAAAAATTAAAGACTTCTCTGAGAAAGACACTGTTCAGAGAGTGAAAGCGCAAGCCAAGCCGGGAGAGAGCTCCTGCAATCGGACACAGGGCTTGAAAGCAGAACACCCAGGGAGGTCTCCAAACTCAACACTAGGGAACAAACCACCTCCTTAACAGGCAAACAGTTAATAGCCACTTCACCAAAGAAGTATGCAGACCACAATCAGCACATGTCATGCGCCGGGTGCCGTCAGCTGTTGGGGAAATTCGAGCATCGGCTAGAAGGGCTGGAACTAAGGTGGCCCTGGTGAGGGCCCGGAGCTGCCGAGCTCTGTATGTGCACACAGCACCACACCGCCTCTCAGACGCAGTGTCTGCTTCTTACAAAGCTGAACTCACACTGGCTATGTCATCTTTTCCACAGAAAAGAAACAAACAAAAAAGAGGTTTGTAAACATTCACACAAGCTTTACTGATGATTGACTAAAAATTGGAAGCTACTGAAGTCCTTCCAGCTGTGCATGAATGAGCAACTGCCACACGGCCACACGACGGTTCCACTCGGGGATGAAAAGGAGGGACTCCCGGCACAGGCCCCACTCGGAAGAACTGCAGGTGTATGACAGTGGGTGAAATGTCATCCCATTTCCATGACGTTCCAGGAAAGGCAGACTACGGTGCAGAGATCACCAGGCAGCGGGGATTAAGGTGTAGGGGTGGTTACAGAGGGGCCCCCAGGGAATTTCTTTGATGACACAAGTTTTCTGTCATTAGGTTGAGATTGTGGTAAGCTAGCAAGCAGTCAGGAGAAGCTAGCAAGCAGGCAGGTGACACCCCAAGGCCATCTCTCCGCTGCCCCATGGACCGTCACACTTTCCTGCTCAGACACTCTGGGAAGGAGACAGGGAAAAACACACCAGGAGTCAAGTTTGAAAGTTCAGTTGACCAGGTCGTTGTCTGAAAAGATGTGTCAAAATCAAAGGAGGGCTGTGGGTCTCCTTCCAGAGAGAGCAGGAACGGGCACACTGGGGAAGGAGACCTGGCAAACACTGCCCAGGCCGGTGGCCCAGGTCAGCAACAGCAGTGATGAGCATGGCTGGTGGGTAGCCTGCTGCGATGAGGGAACTCACCTCGTGGTCTTGCTCCTCAAATGCACACACCACTCCAGTCATGAGAAGAAATCAGACAAATTCTAATCAAGGGACATTCTGTAAATACCTCCTCAGAACCGCAAGATCACCCAAAATAAGGAGGACACCATCCTCGCTAAGAGGAACCAAAGGAGACGTGACAACTCACGTCATCTGGGATCCTAGATGGGTTCTGGAACAGAGAAAGGACTCGGTAAAAACTCAGGAAATCTGAGTCAAGTATTAGCTTTTGTAACTCAGGATGGACCAGTGTTGGTCCATCAACTGGAGCAAATGTGATAAATTAGGGAGATGGAGAGCAGGGATTCTCTACACTGTAATCTCCACGCTTCTGTAGATCTAAACCTGTTCTGAAATGGAAAGTCTATATTTTACAAAAGATTAGACCTTAACTGGCTATGCTGAAGCCACCACAGCAGAAGGAATGTGTGGAAAAGCCACACAGAGTCAGAGGTGGCCAGGGGCCCAGTGGTACCAGCCCCACCACGTGAGCCTTCCGGGAAGGCCCAGGAACCAGGCACCCAAGTGATGGCCCTCAAGTCACCCACCTGGGTGTCCAGCAGAGAGGACCAGCCCTCCTGAGGGGTCCAGCAGAGGAACCAGCCCTCTGAGCCCTGCTCAAGGAGAAGATTTATGGCAAAATCATATCCTTGTCCACTTGTTTTCATTCCTTTGTGTTTGTTCTGGTGTCTATTAATCTAACAAGTGCGAATAGTATCCTTTCACTGTCAAAAATAAATCACGGTGACCCAAGTTTGAAACTTTCATCTTGCCCCATTTAATATAGCCACAATTCAGATGATTTGAAATCATGTACAAGTTTAATCACTTCTGTATCTGTATTCACCTAGTTTACCCACACCTCTGCATAACACTTATTTTCAAGAATTAACTTATTTTTTCAATTGTGGTAAAATACTTATAACTTAAAATTTGCCCTCTATACTAATTGTAAGTTACCAGTCCAATCATGCTAAGTAAATTCACATGGCCGTACAGCCGAAGTCCAGATCTCTTTTAATTTCCCCAAACCCAAACGCTGCCCCATTAAACAACTCTTGACTCCTCTGCCCCTGCCTTGGAGGCCCCCTTTCTACTTTCTGGAGCTATGAATTTGACGACCCTGGGTGCTGCAGGGCTGGGCCTTCCGTGAAGCCCCCTTCAAACCCTGGTTCTTTCAATCAGGTCAGAAAGACTTCAGACATGTCACTCACAGGTACAGCCATGAGTTCATTAGACAGGATGGGAAACAGGAAATGGACAGTCTCCAGGAGGAAGGTGGGCCCTCTTAGAGAGCAGAGGGGTGATATGCTTCTCCTGCCTTCCAGTTTTATTGGGGGGGTTCCCAGGGAACTTTCCAGAGGGACCCACCCAGGTCTCTTTGACAGCAGGTTGACATCAGATTTTCAAGTCCCCTGTGTGCATGACATCTCTAGGTCACTTTGGCCTGTGCTGACCAGTTCTAGTTGGAACCTGTTCTTACAGATTTTATGGGTAGGGGAATTATCCTTATCTCCCTGAGTTCTGATCTGGTCTGTGTAAGAGTTGCAAAGGTCCCCTCTTCAGGGTGACTTGTGTCCTTCTTATTGACATTTTGGAGGCCTGCTTTCCTCCTGCAGATAACAGGTAGTTTGCTGAGGATAAGAAAGGCAGGGCTGCAGGTAAACTGCTTCTTAGAAAAGAAAGCATATGGGGGTCGGCACAGAGAGCCCATTTTATAGAATCGTTTCTCTAACCTTGTGTTCCCACTGCTCAGGTCTGTCTGTCCCCTATCATAGTGACCTTATAAGTGTGTAGTATCTGCCCTCTTGTGCCTGGATTAATACACTTAGCATAACATCTTTAAGGTTTATGTCATGTCTTCTGCAGTCTGCTTCTCTTGTGTAACATTCCTTACAGTATTGTGGGCTCCCTTCAGGGTCAGGACTACCCTGTCTCCTGTATTCTCAGCTCCTAGTGTCTGCACTCTTTTACCTGATAAATGCTGGTTGGATGATTAAATGAATGAAGGTAGTGTTTAGGGAACCTCCTACGTCCCTTGCTTAAGGAAAAAAACCCTACCTACACAAAACCCTTTTCAGAAAAAGGATTGGTATCCAAAATATACACGTGACACTTAAAAACAACAGCAGGGAAACAAGAAACTCAATTTAAAAATGGACAAAAGATATTAACATACGATTCAAAACGAGGAAAATATGCAGAGGGTAGATCCGCACATACAGTGCTTGACTCCATGCCCACCACGGAGGAAGTGTAAGTGTGCTTCCCTGGAAGGACTACAAATAGCAGGAGTCCAACTGGGCATTTTGGAAAAGCGGAGGCCATGGAAACAGAAAAGATCAGTGGTTGCCAGGGGTGGAGGAAGAAAGGTGAACAGATGGGATGGTCGGGGCAGTGACAATTATTAATCTGTATATTACACTGCGGGAACAGGTCATTTCACATTTGTCAAAACCTCAGAATGTACAGACCAAAGAGAAACCCCTAATGTACACTCTGGGTTGGCCTTGATTTAGCTCCCACGGGTTAATATTGGCTCATCCAGTGTAACAAATACACAACACTATTGCAAGATGTTAAAAATTGGGGCATTGAGAGGGCTGGAGGGGACGTTTGGAAACGTTTTGTGCTTTTTGCTCAATATTTTCTGTACATCTAAAGTTGCTCAGAAAAATGGTCTATTGATTTTTTTAAATCACTAATATTTTAATTTTCTTTTATAGCCCCTCTACTGCCCCTGCCTTTTCCCCTACCTGTAAAAGAGCAGAGTGTTTGCTAACCTCACCTGTTTCCATCGCAGCCTCCTTACTCCGTTGCCTTGCCCTGCAAGTCTGGCTCTCGCTGTTGGTGAGGAACCACCAGCAGAGGCTGCTAGAAGGCAGGCGGCCTGACATGGCAGCTCCCAGAGGGAGGAGCCGGCCGCGGGCTCTGGTACTGCGGTGGCCTCTCAGGGACTGAGCAGCAGCCAGGGGCCTGGGTGCCTTTCACAGGTGTGCTCTGGGTGTTCAAGGAAGAAGACAAGGGTGGGCACCTGGCTGGGATAATATGTAAAGGGAGTTGAGGGAAATGCATTTCTTTCTTTTAGTAGCCACCAGAGTAGCCAATAGAGCTCAGTTTTCAGGGAAATGAGAGCAGGTTTCACTGAAGTTAAATAAGAACTACGCAGTGAACGATTGTTTTAAAAGAAAATTCCCAGTAACATGAGAAAATGGAAGAAAATGTTAGCTCACTTTATTTTTTTTAAGAAGAAAATGTTAGCTTACTTTATTTTTTTTAAGAAGATGGACACGATACCTTTATTTTTATCTATTTGTTCATTTTTTTATGTGGTGCTGCGGATCGAACTCAGTGCCTCTCACATGCTAGTAAGTGCTCTACCACTGAGCTACAGCCCCAGCCCTAGCAGCTTCCTTTAAACATGCATTTCCCAGAAATGTCTGTTCAGATATAAATATCTATTAAGTGAGTGAATTTGTCGAATCGTTTTATTCTCCGTTGCTTTCAGTAGGGAGCAATGTTTAGAGTTGCTAATGGGTTCATTAAAAGTTTTGTTAAACTCCCTCAATAAAATTCTGAATGTGGTCACTTTATTCCCAAAGGTTATCCAAGAAAGGAAGTGGAGAATGTTCTTTTAGAAAGCATGAAGTGGGAAAATGTTGAGAACTATTTATAGCAGCACTTAGCTGTGGAAACCCCAGGCCCCACCATCTATTTATAGTTATTCATGGGGTTAAAAGGTGAAACCAGAAATCTTGAAAATGCTGCCTGCTTTTATCCAGCAGTTAAAGCTAATAAGCTGTCTTTCTGTGCTTACGATAACCAGATACTTGTACGGCTCATTCTGGAAATTACAGTAAATGCATCTTGGCTCCAAAAAAAAAAAAAAATTAGTTTGTTTAAATTTAAAAGAGCAATGTTTTCTCTGATGGAGTGATTTGTATTTGGGTTTCTTGTGTTTTCAGTTATCTGCAGATTGGATTTGTCTGTGGCATGTGGAATTTCTAATAACAAGTGGGTAGGAGAGTGGGTTTGTAAAATCGACCCACAGCCTAGGGCAATTCTAGCACTGGTTGATTATTTGAATAAAGAGAAAGAAGTCCAGGACAAATTACTGAACTTCCAACAGCCGTCCTTTGTCTGAGGAATACCTCTTTCTGAACATTCTGTTAGGCCGTAACAGCAGGCTCTGCCCGGGCCTTGAACACATTGCCCAGAGTTTGCAATTCTGCAGCCTGGAATATGATCTAGCCACAGGAAGAACTGGATTGTGTGTGTTTCTTAATATGGAGAAAAGGGAGCCAAAGCGGTGAGTGAGAGGGCTACTGCTGTGACAAGTTGTGAGCTTGTGAGAGTTGGGGGAAGTGGCCATCAGGAGGCAGGAGAGAGGCCATAGAAACAGTCAGGTGACCTCACTGAGATGTTAATGATGTCAAGAACCAAATTATTCCAACTGAGGGGGAAATTTTGTTTCAATAACAGTGCAATCTTCAGCTATGTAGAAAAATTTAGGAATGTCTCAGAATGGATAAACAGTAGTGGAAAAATGACAAAATCACCTTGCTGCCTCAGCCCAGTCACCTTAACTAGAAAGTGCTGGCCATGGCCAGGGTCCGTTTAGGAGGAGCATTCCGGCCAATGCTAACCGTTCATCCCAAACCCCTCTTCACCTCCTGTCCCACGGTTTCCCCTGAACTCCATTCCACCGCCTGAGTTACGTACCACAACGGAAGGCAGCAAAAGCCTCTTCACACACCTGCCTGACGCCTCCGGCCCCTTCGTCAGGGGATAAAGCTTAGGAGCTTCTTCTCCCTCCACCATGCCAGCTTCTTTCCAACTCCCAGAGGGGCTCACACGCCCCCCTGTCACCAGGGCAGCAGCCTAGGAAGTGCTCCTGTCCTGTGACCGGAACCTCCTCCTCAGCCTCGGCCTCTCCTGTTGATGGGCCCCCAGGCTCCCCGGGAGGCCAGTGAGCCCTGCGAAGCAGAAGGAGCCTGGGAGGGAGAGGAGGGCTGCAGTCCTCACGGGTCCCTGCTGCCAGCACCGTGAGTGGCTCTGGACAGTCACTCAGCGCCTCTGAGTCTCTGTTTCCTCTGGCTGAAATGAAAGGCTGAGCCAGATACTCTTGAGGCTCCCAGCTCTTAAGTGGCTTCACTCCCTCGTCTTGCTGCCCCCCCCATACTGTGGGACTGCCTCATCCCACAGACCACCCGTCCCGGACCCTGTAGAAAAGATCTGCGGTCCTACTCTCCCACCAAGACCAAAACCGAAAAATAAAACAAAAACCACCAAGAGTCCTCTGAAGGGAATGCAAACTGGTGGAGCTTCTTTGGAGGCCGTGGGCCCCCTGAAGGCCGGAGGAAGCCTGAGACCTTAGCAGCAACAGTGGCTCTTGGGGCCCACTTGGCCATCCTGGGAGCTGGGTCTAAGTGATGACTTCATCTTTGGAGGAAATCAAAGTCCACAGCACTCAGCCCAGAGACGGCTGAAGCTGGGCTCACCAGTGTGGACTATGACGCTTCCCCTGGGTGTCGTGTTGGTGAGTCTTGGTTGCCCAGGTCTGCTGGACTCTGCCTCTCCTGCTGGGCAGCAGGGCCACTCCTGAAGGCTGGTGGCAGTGGTGGCAGGGTGGCAGGGGTTCTTGATGACTGAGTTCAGCTGGTCCACGTGGAAGACTCAGAACTGGAGGTGCAGTTGAGACAGGGCGGAGGACTGGCAGGGCGGGAGCGGTGTTTCCACGACAGACCGTGGATGGGAAAGAGGACAAGGGTGCGGTGTGTCCTAAGCAGACCCTTCCTGCTCACAGGTAGTTCCCCCTGGCACTGTCACAAGGTCCCCCAGCCTACCGCAGGGAGGCCCTTGCTGTTGCCTGACCCGGGGTGGGGGGTGCGCCTCCCACGCTCCTTCTACAGGTTGCCTAGTGCCCCTGAGGGAACTTGGCGATATTCTCCAGGTGGGGTGAGGGCTAGTGGTCCCTGAGCACAGAAGCGAGAGCTCTCCCCATGTCCTAGGGCCTCACTTCCTACTCCTTCCTGAACACCCAGGTACTCACCGATGGACAAATGAAGGCGTATTTATGGTCATTTTCAGTTTCTTTTGAAAGGTCATTCAGTTTTCATGCCCTGAATGAAAGGTACCTGGATGGTGACCCTTCTAGAAGTACACTTGGGTCCTACTAAGTCTCTGGGACTGCGGTCCAGGCATATCAACTGTGGGTGGGAGTCTCCCCAGATGGCACCCATCTGCAGCCAGGGCTGAAACCACTGAGCTGGAATCATGAGGGAAAAAGCTAGCTGTCTCCTGTCCCAGCCTCTCTCAGCTCCACTCCCCAGGAGTCTTGTTTTACATGGACGGATTTTTCCTGCGTTCCACCCTGGCGGCTGCTTTGGCAGAATCCTCAAAGGCATCACTTTGCTTAATGTAGCTCAGATCAAAGCGATTTAACAGTGCAACCAAAGCAATAATGGAGCTGGGGGGACCCCCGTTTTATATGTGAAATTTGATTATGCATGGTGCTTGAGAGTCTTTGTGATAAAACTCCTTTGTGTGCTCAGATAAGACTACAAACCTGTTTTTGAGCCCATCTACACGGTCACTGGTCATGGTGGCAGAGTCCTGGTATGACCTCTGGCACCTACTATGGGAGGACTTTGAGGCACATGTAGCCCAGCAGGCCTGATGGCAAGCATGCACCGTGGAGGCTGTGGGTCTGCGGGCCTCGAGGAGCTGACCAGGTTGCACATACTCAGCCCATGAGGTCAGAGAAAGGTGAGACCACCAAGCAGACACGGGACTCATGCACCATGTTCCACAGCTGGGAGACAACCGCCAGCAGAGGAGGTTGCTATGTGGATTCTGCTGGGGTGACCTTAGGTAGAGGCCCAGTGGCTCTGAGGTAGCGGGAAACTGAGGCCCAAACCTGAAGCACAGTGCACATCTTCAGAGTTCTTAGTTGGAATGACAAGTGGGTTTCGTGTTTTTTTATGTTTATTTTCAGATGATGTACTGAACATTCAGTATTTATATTATTTAGAATCACCTAGTCATTAAACTTGTCTCAGTCTGGACACTTTGGGGACACATTAAATCTGGCATCAAAATGATGCTCTTTTGTAATGATCTATCCAGAAGCCTCTTAGAGATCTTCGTTTGGACTCCTCCAGGGTCTGGAGACTTAATTCAGTGCAAATTCTAACTCACGACCCTTCTCCTGAGTCTCCACTATCTTCCTATGAAAGTTATGAAAGTAAAGACTACCTCAGTCCCTGGACTTCCTATGATCTAAATCAGACAACTGGTAAGTCCTGTTGATCCTGTGGCTCTCGACTGATACTCTAGCCATCCACTGGTCTCCGGTCCCCCAAAGTGTCCAGGACACTCCTCTCAGAATGGCCTTCCTCAAAGGCAGAGGCCATCCAGGGTTCTGCTCAAAGATCTTCTGATGGCTTTCAGGACGTTTTAAGAGTGGGACACACTGGGCTTCCAGGCACCCATCCCCGCCCCCGCCGCTGGCAGCCTGACCCTCCCCTCTGCACGTCACTGCCCATGCTTGTCCACAGGGTGGTTAAGCACAGCTTCGTAAGTGCCGTCCACGTGTGGCCACGTGCTTTACCAGTGCTGTTGCTTTTCCAGAGGGCCTTTCCACACTTTCTCCTCTGCCTAGAAATTCCCCCCCATTTTTCGAGGCTGCACCAAGTGCCACTCCCCCATTGCTCTTCTTCATCTGCCCCTGTTAGGTCTCGGCCCATTTGTTTCCCATCCCCACTGCAGGGACCACAGCTGATTAACTCATCCTCTTCTGAGCTTCTCAGTGCAGGGTTGCATCTAGTTTCTGCGACTTCCCCGTCAAACAGGTGCTTAGTGAGCAATTTAATCCAGCGGGGACACTCAAGGGACCTTTGTTTTTTTGAGATAGAACTCACAGAAACTTCAGATTCCTTGTCTTTGTTTCCCACATTCTTACTTGAAAGAGTTTACTCACAACCCCATGAATTTCTATCAAATACTTATATATCTGTTAAAACAAGAAAAGCCACAGGCTTTTTTCTAGGGTTGTTACAATTTAGCCCGATCTCAGCCTTTCACCCAACGGAGCAGGCTACAGCCCTTCTGAGGTTCTGACGAGTACATTGTATTTACTAGGAAAAGAAAACAAAGAGAAAATTTTGAAAGATTGAAAAACAACAACAAGGACTGAACTCAGAAAGCATTTCTGGTTAACCATATTAACCAGGGAATTGGGAGAAGGACGACATTCCTGTCTCTGCCTGTCACGGTTAGCTGAAGACTTATTGAATATGAAAGCGGTAAACAACGTGACATGCCTCTTGATCACTGCAGGGCTCCGAGTGTGGATGGAGAGGTTCCAAGCTGACTTCCCTCTCCGGGTCCCTGCATTGAACCTGAGAGCGCCAACACTGTTGGATTCAGATGGGGTATTGAGTGCCTGGCACAATCCTAACTTTTCTCAGGTCTATCCGTGATTATTTTAGTTTTCCCCCCACCCCATATTCTTGACTTTGAGAATCTCATCCATGTGATACGAAGTACACAACCACTGTACTTGATTTGTTTTTTTTTAATCTCAGGGGATGACTTATCTTTTTTGGCAGGGTAGCATTATATGATTAGTTAAATATAAATAATCTCAAAGTTAGCATTTGGGTTTGGAGCGTTCACGTGGTAACAACTAGATGATTGATTTCAACCTGCCTTTCTCCCCATTTCCTTCCAGAGCTGTTAGTAGTTGCTGTGGCTTCACTGGTACCTGCAGCAAGCCACCTCAGGAGGAAACAGTACCCACTGACGGGCAGCGGCCCCTCGGGCTGGCAGCGCTGTGATCTGTGGAGCAGCTGCTCTTGTGCCAGCCCATGTTCCCTCTCCAAGAGATGACACTGTCACCGACATCTCCCAGGGCCCCGGACAGTGTGGCCGTAATAGTTACATGGACTTCATGGAGAGGAGGGGGAGGGAAGGGGACAGGAGGCAAACACTTGAACCCGAAGAAACTGCTGCATCGAGAGCCTCTCCATCCTCAAGGAAACCTCCCACACAGCCTGTCCTGCAGAGGCCAGAGGAAAGAACAGGCCTGAACTCGACAAATGGAATGCCAATCTCCCATTTGCCCCGTAGAAGTGAGTGACCCTTGTCGCAGACAGTTAGTCCTCTAGTGGTGGCCGAGGGTTCAACGAGGTGATTAGGAAAATCACCCTGCACAGAAAGCGTCCGCAGTTCACTTTTTAGCCTCCCTGTGAATGGCCTTACTCAGAGCCCAGCGGAGGGTGAACAGGAATGAAGCTCTGATTTGGGAACAGAGACCTGGGGTGCTGCAGGCAGACCTGAGCTGGGTGGAGACTTAGACTCCAGCTATAGGATTGCACAGGGGAGGTGGAAGGAAGAGGCTCACAAAGGGCAGGGAGGACGACTGGGAAGCAAGGCTGTTTGCCATTGTCACCAGAAGCGTCTTTGCGGGTAAAGTCAATGCTGCAGCCAACATGGCGGAATGGCCCCATCGCCACCCAGGCCACGTATGCTTCTCCTGACCTCGGATCTTCTTGGTCCAAAACTCACCTTTCTTCCAAAGGAGGAAGAAGAGGAAGGGGAGAATCTAATGCCTTTGCTTGTTCCTTCCAGCCCCTGGTGCCCTTTTAATTTCAGAAGCCGACTATCATTGGGGGGAACATTCCAAGGCCCCAGGGGAAGGCTGAAACCACAGGCAGTGCTGACGCCTCTGTATACCACGTTCTCCTGTACACACCTGGGATGAAGTTTAACTTAAAACTAGGCACAGGAAGAGATTAGAAACTACTAACAATAAATACAACAACAGGCTGCGATAAAACTCATGTGTGTCTTTCTTAAAATCCCTTCTTGGATTGTGCTCGTCCTTCTTCCTGGGACAATGCAAGACCACGCCAGGCCTCCCTGATGAGGAGAGGAGGGGCATGGTGGAGGCCTGGTCACGTGGAGTTGGGCTTCCAGGTGAGGGGCTTGAAGCAGCACTGCCACACTCCCCAGCTGCTTGGATCACCCAGATGGCTACCAAGTGCGTATCAGATGGGTAGTGTACACAACATGGGTGTGCTGGACACAGACGACTCACCTCCCAGGTGGGACAGAGGGGACAGCGCGAGCTTTCACCATGCCATTCAGAATGATGTGCAATTTAAAACTCATAAATTGCTTACTTCTGGGATTTTCCATTTAATATTCTTGGACCAGAATTGATGGTAACTCAAACCATGGAAAGCAAAGGTGTGCCCAAGGGAAAAGCCATGGATGCTCACACGGTAACCTGTTGTCACCTTAGCCTTGAAATGGAAAGGAAGGCAGCAAATGCTCCTGGTGATGAGAGGTTAAGGCTAACCTTCCCCGGTGTCATTCACATTACTGCCTTGGCTGGGTGCCAACCAAGTAGGGCACAGGAGAGGACGGAGCAGTAGGCCCACCCCTCCCGCTCTGCCACCCAGGGCCCACAGGCCTTCCCTTCTGACCTCCCGCGAAGAGGACATGCTTTCCCCGTCCTTCACACCCACCTGGATGTCCAGGAGACCTGCAGCTCTTTTCTGAGGAGGTGGCTCTGTTGCTGGGAGAGCCGAGACGGATGGAGTTCTCAGCAGCATCTTGGCTGGAGGCTTCTCCACCGACCGCGCTCCTCCCAGGGCGGGCGCTTGGGAGGCTCTGGCCCACCGTCCAGGTACTTCTGTTCCAGGCCAAGTCAGAAGGGGCCCTCAGAGTCCCAGTTAGAAGTGCCCCTCAGAGCCCCAGTTAGAAGTGGCCCTCAGAGCCCCAGTTAGAAGTGGCCCTCAGAGCCCCAGTTAGAAGTGGCCCTCAGAGCCCCAGTTAGAAGTGGCCCTCAGAGTCCCAGTTAGAAGTGGCCCTCAGAGTCCCACTGTGCAGGAGTCGTGCTGCCACTGTCCCAGAGGCCTCGGCCTCTGCAGGAGGCGTCTGGCCTTTTCTTGAGAGCGCTTCGTGCTTCCCTGCCCTCCTGCTCCTGGACTGCTGGCCCAGCACAACTGACTTCCACACGAGTCGCGGAACCTCTGCGGAGGGTGTGGAAGAAACAGAAAAAAGTGTCTGTGCTACCCCAAATCCAGCCGGAAAACATCCGGGCTTCCTGGATACTACGGAGCAGACCTGGGACAGAGGCCTGTGCCTCTCTCTGGCAGACCATGGCTTCAGCATCCACAGCCTGCCCATCCCTGGGCATCAGGGACAACAACCCACTGTCCCGGCCAGGGGATTCCTGATTCCTCTCCACGTCGATTTCCTCTGCCTCCCCATTTCCCCCAGCCACCGCAGACCGACTCTATTTCTTGATCCCTTTAGTTTTTAATTCCTGCCCACGTGCCATGCCAGAAGCCCCCAGGAGGGCTGCTGCTGGAGTGTTGAAGGGAAGCTGGCACCTGATCAGGAGTCTGACCCTGGAGAGCAACGAGAGGTGAAACAGGTGAGGCTTCAGCCTCCCCCAGTTTCCAGGTTCTGGAAGGTCTGTGGGAACTTTCTGCCCTCCCTCCTCCCTCCCACTCCAGGGCCTGATCACCTGGCCTTGTGGCTCCTTCAGCCGCCTCTGACTGGCTGCTCTGCAGGCCAACTTGCCCCCTGCCCTGGCCCTCTTCCCTTTCCTGCTCCCTCTGAGGCAGGGCAGAGCAGCAAAGATAAGGGCCCCTTCCTGGGGTGGAGGCCCCAGAGCCTCCTCCCTACTGGACACAGTGTCCACCCTCTGTGCAGCAGGTCCTTCCATTCCCACACACTCCCTTGGGCCAGGGGGTTGGTTTAGGACAAAATCAAAATGGTCAGGCCAAAAAAGAAAAAAAAATCCCCAAACCAGACAAAAACCAACAACAGAGGAGGAGACCTTAAATCTAGGTAAGCTGTCCAATATCCTGTGGGCTGGGTTGCATGGAGAATGTTTAAGAAGAACGGGTAATCTCCACATTCTTTCCTGTCATTTATCTCAAATCTATACCATCTCAATTAGACTATGGATACTACTTACGTAATGGCAGGGCCAGGGAGCAAGCACCAGCGGAGACAGTATTTCTGTAGACTTCTGAATGCTTGGCTCACTCACTTATATAACTCTGTAATCTGGGGACGGTTGGTGTTGTGTAACTACTAAGAAACAGGAGCGATTTCCTCCAGCTTACTTTTATTTCTAGAAAAGTCTGGAGCTAGTCTTGTCAGCAGCTGTAGCAGCAAGCCAGCCAGCCAGAGAGACTTCAGCATTCGCAGTGACATATTTTGTGGCTGCCAAAGAAATGGGAATCTGTTGGTAAAGCTCCCTATGCAGGGCTAAAAACACACTGTCTACCAAAATCATAGTGTAAAACTGAGGGGAACCACAGATAATCAGGTTGAAATGTACACACACAAACACGCACACACACGCACACACACAGGAATCAGCTTGGCATAAGGGGAATGCTAGTGAGGTGGGAGTTCAGGGACATGGCAATGGCAGAGGCAGGTGGGCAGGGTACAGGGTACAGGAGAAGTGCTGGCTGGAGCACACGACAGCGAATGGGTCCTCACATCTTGTTTCCAGCAAGTCCTGTCACCGTGGCAACTCCTCCACGGATGGGAGTTCTGTATTCTAGTTATGTGAAAACAAAGCGACCAGTGGAAACTCTATTCTAATTAGGTGAAAGTAAAGTAACCAATGGGAACAAACAGGGCAGGGTCTTCAGTGGGGTCTCTGCACCCAGAACTCAGCCAGCTGTGGGGCCCTGAGCCTCTCTAGCTGGCCCACTCGGCTCTACCTTAAGGGGTGTCCCTTCACTGTCACTTTCCATGAATCTGCCCTTTTGTGTTTCTTACTCAATTCTAGAGCCAGGAACATGGACCCCAACTGGACAGACACCCACAGGTCTCGTCTGACAATACTTCATACCTGATGTTGAGAGCCCAGGAGAACGCCCAGTGCTATCAACCAAAGGGTGATTGTTGACCTTGAACCATAAATCATTTAGGCAGGATCCTCAATGAACGCTAGAGCCAAGGCCAGTCCAGCAGCCAGTTCCTCGACAGAAGCCGTTGCAGTTGACCTAGGTCCTCCCACCAGCACAGTTCGGTGGCGGCAGGCAGGTGGTGGGCAGCGAGGGAGGCTGAGAGGGGAGGCTCTGGAGAGAAGGACGGAAGGACCACTTGCACACAGCCCCTTTCCATGCCAGAGCTACCCTGGGTTTATTAAATTGGCACAGATTTAAGAATAAATCCAAAGTATTTTAATAATCAGAGAAATTATGAAATATTCATCAATCACAACTCCAGGTAGGAGGGCCTAAGGAACTTCCTCACCCCATTCTCTCTGGGCCTTGGGAACACCAGCCACTTGCTTTGCTGGACCGTCTGAGCCACCACAGCCAGCAGGGAAGCCTCTGGGGCTTGCTGATTTGCTGATTCTAAAGCTGTCTTCACGTAGAGACAGTGTCAGTTTCCCTGGGCCTGGTGACTCAGGCCTGCAGACCAGCCCCTTGGGAGGCGGAGGCAGCAGGATTCCAACCTCATTCCAACCTCGAGGCTCCACAGTTTAGTGAGATCCTGTCTCAAAATATAAATAAATATAAACTGAAGCGCGCTGGTTCAATCCCTGGTGCCACAAAGAAAAAAAAAAAGAGAGACCATCGACATCAACTTTCCCTGCTTTTTCATTCCATTGTCTCTATGCCACATTCCTGTTCTTTTAATGGTGACCTCTGAAATTCTTTCTACCTACTTTGCAGCCTAAAGTTAATGTGAAGTTCTTTGACATCGTCTAGCACTGCAAAGACCCAAGGGTGCTCTTGCTCCATTACCACTGCTTCTGGTTCACCTGTTGCTGAGAGGCGATATTTTGAATTTATCTGTTTTTAACCTTGCAGACTGTGCAATTATTATTAAATTATTAAAAATAATAATTATTAAGTTATTAGAAATTATTCTCTTTTCTGTTATCTGGGAGTGTTTTTATTTCCCTTCACTCTTGGAAGTTATTCCACTGGGTTTGCAATTCTAGATCTAGAATTACTTTGTAGCAGATTGTAGGTGTTTCCCTTTCTTGTGACTTTGCTGGTTGCTTAGCATGGGCAGGACCTGGGTTCGATTCTCAGCACAATATTAAAAAAATAAATAAATAAGGGCATTGTGTTGTGTCCACCTACCCCCCCCCAAAAAAAATATATATATATATATCCTTAAAAAAAGATTGCTGCAGTCTGATTGACATTTTTGCAGATGATCTACATTTTTCCTCCAGGAGTTTTGCAATCTTATTTTCATTCTTGATGCTATTTAGCATGGCCAAGAGATATCTATGTTTGAATTTATTTTTATTTACCTTGCTTTGCATATTATAGTGCTTCCTCAATTCTGGAAAATTTTGGCCATTATTTCTTAAATAAGTGCATTACGTATTCTTTAAATATCATTTTTCTGCCATAATTCCACCTTTTAATTCCAAAACTCAAAATGGGTATATGTTGGACTCTCTCATTTTATTTCTCACCTTCTCTTTCAGAGTTTTCCATTTATGCTTCTGTGGTACATTCAGAGGTATTTCTTCAGATATACCTTCCAGTTTGCTAATTCTCTGTTGTCTAATTTGTATATTATGCTTGAAGTAAATATTTTTGTAACTCTTGGGCATTTAAAATTATTTGAAATATCTTTTAAGAATACATATGCTTGGCCTGGGGATGTAGCTCAGGGGTAGAGGGCTTGCCTAGCATGTGGGAGGTCCTGGGCTTGATTCCCAATACTAAAACCAACCAACCAAACAACTAACCAACTAACCAACCAACCAACCAACCACAAAAGGCTGTGTTAGCCAGGTGTACTGGCATATGCCTATAATCCCAGTAACTTGGGAGGCTGAGGCAGGAGGATTGCAAATTTGAGGAAGGAATTTAGTAAGACCCTCAGCAACTTTGTGAGACATTGTCTCAAAATTAAAATTAAAACAGCAAAGTCTGAGGATGTAGTTCCGTGGTAAAACACTCCCAGGTTCAATCCCTGGTACCAAAAAATGAGGAAATCTGCATATGCTTTCTTTATCCTCTTCCCTCCCTTACATTACCCAATTCATCTTTGCAGCATCCCCGTCATCTGATGTTGGTTCTGTCATGTGGGTTCTGGTGGCTGCATACTTGTGGTATACTTTAACATGTCCCTTGGTCCTTGGCATTTCCTGGAGATGGGTGCTGAACCCACGGCCTGGGTCATGCTCAGGTTCAATCCCTTTGTGAAAACCACTGGAAGCATATAATATCTGATTGTCTCTCTTATTGTGACCTTAGTAGCTACTGATACCATGTCTAGTTCCATTCCCATGAAATCACAAAAGGCCCTCTTCTAAGCGTAGGTTTCTTTTTCATGTATTCCTTGGAATACCTTTATAAAGACACACATCTCCTCATTCACTGTTTTCCACCTGTGACGCACCTTTAAAAGGAGAAAGTGTAAATGCTGGACCGCTTCCCTTTGTTTGGCAGGTTTCACGGTCCTATTCCTGTTCCTGCCATTTTCAGTGGCATTAAGAACTCATAGGTGAAGCATTATGGAAGGTTTTCATCCATTGCAGCGACTATTCCTAAAGCTCAGAGTGCTCTGTTTGGTCCAGTGGGGAGTTTCTTCCTGTTGGCTCCTGGGTGCTTTGGACATGTATGACCTTACAGGTCCTGATGCTCCTTGCTATTTGGTATGGGAGGACATTCTAGACTTATCTCAGACTTCTCTTTTGGCCATTTCTCCACGAAATCTTGATTTCTTTTCATTTAGAAATAGTATTTCAGGTCCACAATTTGGCACCTAGAGGTATATAGTGGACAATGGTAGGAATATACATATACATGTAGATATATGTCATAAAATACCTCATGAATTCAATGCAATTGAGTCTATAAAGCTCACCATCTTTTCAGTGGCTTTGTGATGGCCTTTCCTTAGTAGCTGAGAATTTAATTCTCAAAGACACAGAAGGTGGGGTTGGGGATTTAGCTCAGTGGCAGAGCGCTTGTCTAGCATGTGCAAGGGCTCGAGTTCAGTCCTCAGCGCTGGGGAAAGAAAAAAAGACACAGATGATGATAGAATATCCCCTTAAAACTCATTGACATCAGGAGTTAGAAACCAAGTCTGGCCTGCCACCACCTAAGAATGGTTTTGCCTTTTAAAAGGATTCAAAGAAATCAACCAACAAAAGAAGAATAGTATTTTGTTAACACATGAAACAGATTCAAAGCTTCAAATTTCAGCACCCATAAATGAAGTGTTATGGGAACTAACATTCACTTATGTGTTATCTAGGATTGCTTTTGTCCTCTACCTGCAGAGCTAAGAAACCAGCTGACCTTCAAAGCTGACAAGTAGCTACCTGATTCTTTACCAAGGAGATTTTCTGACTCTGGTCCTAGGCTTCTTTTTCTGTTGTGCATGTCATGCCTGTCTTGATTGATTTTGGTTCCACTCCCAAGAATTTCTCCCTCAGGTGTGGCCCTGGCTGAGGCAGGCACTCACATGACAGGCACAGTGGCACACGCCTGCAATCCCAGTGGCTCAGGAGGCTGAGGCAGGAGGATCACGAGTTCAAAGCCAGCCTCAGCAAAAGCGAGGTGCTAAGCAACTCAGTGAGACCTGCCTCTAAATAAAATGCAAAATAGGGCTAGGGATGGGGCTCAGTGGTTGAGTACCCTTGAGTTTAATCCCTGGAACCAAAAAAAAAAACAAAAAAAAGGGTAGTTCATCGGGGGTAGAAGGCTCCTGGACCTTGAAGTGCTCCCCACTGTGGCTCCCTTGCATTCAAGCTGTGGACTGGGCACGACCAATCCTTCTCTCCAACTGGCCCTGCTGTGCTTCCCAGAAACAACTGTCCCAGGTCCGCCAGCCACTGCCCAGAGCTGCGTTCCTCCTCCAAGCAGATGCCACCATCCAGAGATGCCTTCTTCCAGAGGGACGCTGCCCCGTGTCTGTGGCTGGGGGAGTGCTGTCCTGCCTGCTGTATTTTGAAAATTCCTTTTTTAATTGTTTTATGTGGGGATTCAGAAAGAGTTAAACACTAGTATGTTTTAAATTTTATTATTATTATTAATTTACATAAATTCTATTACTTTCTTTTTCAACCCGATCTTCTCGTTTGGGGGATTTTTTTTCTCCTTTCTCCTATTTGAATGTCCTTTCAGTTTTTTCCGTTTCTATGGTGGTATTGGGGATTGAACCCAGGGATGCTCTACCACTGAGCTACTTCCCGCCTTGTTAATTATTGTTTGTTTTGAGTTAGGGCCTCACTAGTTGCTGAGACTCTGGGACTTGCCATTCTCCTGCCTCAGCTTGCTGGGTTGCTGGGATCACAGGTGTGCACCACTGCGCCTGGCTTATTCATGTTTTTCTTTTAACATTCTTATTTCATCATTTACATCTGATGATGCTGATGTCTGAAGCCCTGGTGTTTGTTTTTCCCAGTGGCGTGTGGTGTATTTGAAATTGTGTGGTGTGTGTGCATTCAGCTTCATGGTCAATTTTTTGGGGAGACGGGGGGTACTGGGGATTGAACCCAGGGGTTCTTTGCCACTGAGCTTCATCCAAAGCCCATTTTATTTTTTTATTTTGAGACAGGGTCTCTCTAAGTTGCTAAGGCTGGCTTTGAACTTGTGGTCCTGCTGCCTCAGCCTCCTGAGTTGCTGGGATTACAGGTGAGTGCCACTCCATGCCCAGTGTCATGGTGACTTCATCTCTAAGAGTTGTTAGAAGCCCTGCTAAGGACATTCATTCCTCCTTGAAGACACACGCTTTCCTCTTCCAGGGGCCTGGAAAAGACACATTTTCCTTTCCATTTGCCCCCGTGGAAAGCTTATCCCTCTGTCTTCTTTGCTCTCTTCCTGAGAGTGCTACCCTCCC